GAATAAATGTGATAAGCAAGTATTGTAGACCACCACCACATGTATACGGTACTCACTGGAAAGTTCAATTCCTGTTTGTTTGAAATACAATGTTGAAACAAAAACAACTAATATCTCTTCTTAAGATGACTAAGACTGTATCCTAGGTTGGGCTGCCAATGATAAGGATCCTGGTCACCATCTATAAAAATCTAACTGACCAAAGGAGGAAGTAAAAGCGGTCAATACATAAAGTGAGTGGTGGGGAAGTATTAGAGCCAAAGCCCAGAAATGCAGGAGGGTCTGAAGCCTGCCAGAAATAAGGCCCAGGGCGACTAGGCAGGAGACAGCACTTTCAGACACTCCTAGGCTGCTTTTGCTTTCTTCATAATCCTGTGAGTCTATGAAACTGTCTTCTAGGCCTGGAAGCCAGCATTTCCTAGCAGCACTTTAGCTTTTCTAATAAACATAAGACATAACTGAAGGATTCAAAGTCATTGATTGGGGTGGGAGGGGGAGAGGAAGGACTGGAAACGAATTAAAAATTCCACAGGGAGAGGGTATGACTCACCCACTCCTTGATGGGTAACTACCCTTTTAAATTGCATCTTGTGAAAACAGCCAAGGAGCATTAAAGATTGAATGTAAAACTGCTTCTGGGCAGAGCTGATTAAAAAGGAATAAAAAATATTTTAAAAGGTTGTTCTGAGTTATTTGGCAAAATTTGCATTTTGGTGAATGCGTGACTCAGATCCCACTGCGGGTCCTTTTCATCTCCAGAGCTATGACTTTTAGAGGACAATAGTCACCAGTAATTGTTGCTCTCTGGAGACGACTGAAGAGTCTCAGTCTAGCTGACAGAAATCAGTGATTATCACTGCTTGATTTAATGAGCCTTCACAGAAACCTTTACCTGCTTTGTCCTTGAGCTTTCTGTTCACTCAGCTTTCCAATTTTTCCACCTGCAAGGATATAACATACTTTTTGCTACTAACTTGCCATAAATAATAACTAGGTTCAGTTTTTAGGGCTTTTTATTACTCTTTTAATCTTTCAAATAAGAAACAAAACTTTAATGAGATTAGACACATGATAACAAAACGGGGACAAATGAATTAACCCTAATTTGAACAGACTTTTAACTTTAAACATTACTGGCTCATGTAATTTTTAACTGAATTTAAAATAAATATCTCTGCTAAGCTAATGAAAGTATTGCATCTGTAAAGTTAGCATGCAAAAACGACTAGTATCAACTATTAGTAAATGAAATATGAAGTTCATCACTTTCTGAGAGAGGTCAGCCACCTGGGTAACCCAACCAGTTTTCACCAATACCCTCTGGGCAAGGTAACACAGAGAACAACAAGGGAAACATCATATCCAAAAAATTTGAAGAAAACATGTTATGTCCAAAACACAGTATCTCTGGGCTGCTTTATTTCACAAAGATGTTAACATTTGAAAACAGTTTTCTATACCTCTAGTTCTATAGTACAATCCAGGCTACAGTTTCTTCAAATTACATGACATTTCCCTAAAAAACAAATACCAACTCTATTATGGGAAGTTGGTAGTAAAAATTTACCTCAGCAAAGCAAACAAGATGTCACAAATCGGCTTTTTTTAGATTATCTCATAAAAGCACAGAGACAAGGAGAAAAGAGCAAACATATCAAGTATGGCTTGGCGGGGCTTTACGGCTCCCAGATCATACTTTCACTACTTCCCAAGAGCCATTCATGAGATTTGCTGCAATGAAAACTCAAATCATATATAAATTTTAATCTGAAAGCAAAGTGTTGCCCTCTTGAGGTAAACTGAAGAACAGAAAGAAAACAATGCTAGCTTTGCCGAGAACATTACAGAAGGCGGCTTTCTTCTCCAAAGGGCTTTTCTACAAACATATTGTGATCTGTGATCTGAAGCTAGCTAGTTGTGATAAAAAACTCCATTTTCACTCCAACAATAGATACCTTACAAATACCACTAGGCATCAGAACATTTCTGCAAAAATAAAGCTAAAACTTCACACTAAGAAGAAAGCAAAATTTTTAAAGTTTCAATTGATGAAAATGTCAAACCAGATGCATCCTAAAAATTCATTACCCAGCTCTTCAGTTGGCCTCGCTCATGCAACTCAGGGGACCCAAACTATAGACTGAAAAGCTTTGTGGCAAACTTTTACAGGGGCTGTAGGAGCTGGGGGGCAAGGCAAGTCCAGTACATTTTTATAGCTCAATTCCACTTAATATGCAAGGTCTGCCACACAGGAATAGCTGCACTGAGAAAAAGAGTATGTAACATATAAGCGTGGGTAGCAAATTGAATGGTCCTGATAGATTATCCTTCTAGGGAATTAATTTCAGTCAGTAACCCTCTGAGGTACTGTTCCTATTCTAATGTCACAGGGCCTTGAACTAACTAAAGCTGTTTTTCCTCAAATTACATATTATTCTATGATAAGCTATCATTTGATTTTTTCAGTATTACTAAGAAGAGAACGAGTTGGATGACATCATTACTCCTCTAAAGTTTGAAAGACTTCAGTGCTTGACTAATAAGCATGACTCATTCATGAGTGATCACGGTTTTGAATGAGCAATAAAAATATGGTCACCATCTCATCCTGTTACTATAGCCCCTGTAGGAGGAAGAGATCACACTGGCCAGCTGTTGCTAAAGTCTAGATTCATGGATACAGAATTAACCTGTCACATTATCTGAGGCAATGAAAGTAGGTTTCTCACATACACTCTCCCAGTGCTGAACTCTTTACACAGGCCTCTCGAGCTACCCTTGATATTTATTTCAACTTATGAAAAAGCTTGTCTATTTTTTTTCACTTTTATAAACCCAAGGGAGAGTAAAAGAAGTTAAGGGGATAGGAGAAGTAGGAAGGGCACAAAAAGATGTTCTTAGCACCAATTCCTTAAATATCATCTATGAGCAGATAATCCCAAAATTTGTATGGTGAGCCCAGACATCTTTTGTACAGCCTAACTGATATCAAATTGGATGTATCCTAGGCATTTCAAACTTAACCTACCTTAAAAACAAAACAAACTAATAAAAAAACCCTCTTGATTTTCTCCATAAATCTGTTCTTCCCTCTGTCTTCCACCCCAGTATGTGGCACTACCCATTAAATTATTTCCTACAAGCCAAACCTGAGAGTCATCTTTGACTGCTTCCTCTTTCTTACCCCCAATCCAATCCAAAGTCCTGCCAGTTGCAACAACAAATACAGCTCTAATCCACCTTCTCCCCTCCACCCTCACCTGCGCTAGGAAGGACACAACAGTCTTCTCTCTGGTTTCCCACTTTGACTCCTGGAACTCTCTAATCCAGCAATTTTCAACCCGTGTGTCGCAAGAATTTTTAAAACATGAAATACCTGACTATTTAGTCCGGGGCACTGACTTCTTTTCCCTTAGGTTGTCAACACACACACACACACACACACACACACACACACACACACACACCAGCCAACACAACAATAGCCGTTCAGTGTGAATAAATCTAAATTATACCTTATTTTTTTCCAGATTGGCAAAAAATATATTTTTGGTGTGCCGCAGAATTTTAGTAGCTTGCATGCCATGAGATGCAAAAGGCTGAAAATTGCCGCTCTAATCCATTAGCCAGACAATAGCCAGAATGACCTTACTTATCACACTGAATAAGTGACTCTCCCGCTTAAAACCACTCATCTACTTTCTACTGCATTTCAAATAAAATTTTAATTCCCCAAGAGCATATATAATCTGGCCCATACCTAACTTTCAAGCTCACCTCATGATTTTCTCCCTTGTTCACTGGAATCCATCCGCCTTGGCCTCCTCTCTGTTCCTAGAAAATCCAAGTTCTTCCCCATTTCAGTGCCTTTCACTTTCAGTGCTCTTGGTCTGACTGAGTCTTCCTTACACTTCAGGTCTCAGCTTAAATATCACCACTTTGTCTAAAGAATAACCCTACTTACTCTCTAGCACAGTAGCCTATTTCCATCATAGCACTTACTGTTTATTATTTGTTGAACTAGGAAAATGTAAGTACCATGAAGGCAAGGATAGCATCCGTCTTGTTCACCATGCTGTTCCCAGTGCCTGTAACATTGCACAGTACCTAGTGTGCCCTCAATAAACATTCAGTAAATAAGAGGGACTAGCCAGGTGTTCCTGAAACTTCTGAAAATAAAAAACAACTATTTTAAGATTTCACTTCTTAAATCATTGAACTATATATGAAACTCTGGAATTCTTCTTGCTAAAAATTGAGATATGAGGTATCAAAAGAATGCGTAATTCACTTCTGTTTTGTCAACTAGACTTTGGAATGAATAAATGATCCCATTCATAAACAAATTAATAATTATTAAAAAGTAGCTATTAATAAAAGAATGGTTATTAAATAATAGTCACTTGTTTTGTTGATTTTGTAGCAGCTAAATGTTTCAGAGGACCCAGTGCTCTTTTTGGATGGGCTAAAAACTCAACTAGCTCAATCAACACTACTCCTGCAGTTTAGACCAGCCTAAGGCTGAAAAGATCTTCACAGTGATTTTGTGAACCACACTTTCTCTGAGAATACTAATGTCAATAAACCATACTCACTTAAGGGGGAAAAAAAAAGGATTATTTCAATAGAAATAATCCAGTCTCACAAAACAAAAGGAACTACAGGAACTAGGGATGTATGACACATGTTAACTTAAACTTATTGTGGCATTCAGGTCATGATATATGTAGGTCAAATCATTATGCTGTATATCCTAAAAATACACTCCAGTGCTGGAAGTCAATACATCTCAATAAAACTGGGGAAAATGTATTTAACCTTACAACCCATGAAAAGTATACAAATAAAAATAATGAAATCCCATGTTACTACTCCCCCACCCCCCCTGAAAAAAAGAATTAGGAACGTAGATATAGAGCCAAAGGAATTCTCATAGGCTGCTGCTAGGAAAGTAAATTGACAACCACTTTGGAGAATATAATAAAATAGTAATTTCTTACTTGACTGCTTCGTAAATATTGTTGGAGGTATGTCCTGACAAGGCATCATGTAAGTTTCGAATAAAATAATCTCTGTATTCTTCGGGAAGGGCCATAAATGTTCCACCCATCACAATAAACTCCACTTTATCCACACTGTGACCAAGCTGTTTCAACTGAAAGACACATAAATTAATCAGCATTAAAAAATGTAGTCACTATCCTAGGAGGGTGTTGCAAATTTCTAATTTTATTTTGCAGTGTTTTCATCAGTATAGTTTAAAAATAAGAAGCAATTAAACATACTTAGCAAATTCTGTGGATTAAAAAAATAGACTCCAGATTCTGAAAGAAAAAAAATATTATAGCTCAAATAAGGAGGGAGAGTGAGAATTAAAAATAATAAACAAGAAGCTTGACATTAATACCTACAGAGCTGAGTGGAAATTTAAAAACACAAAGAATATAAACTAGAAAGCAGTAAAGGCAAAAATAAGCAACTATTTATCAACCCTGTATTTTATGCTAGACTTTGTGGTAAGCCTTGGGGACAACGAGGATAATTACATGAAACAATTAGGACTCGATGTAAATGAAAGGAATAAAAATACTGGATTAGAAACAAAAATTAAGAAAACAGTTTTAAATTAAAACTTTAAAGTTTTAAATCCATTGTGAAGATTCTGGACATAGGTGGCACCTCAGGCCTGCTTTCCAGGGGGTTGGGGTGGGGAAGAAAACAAAAGACTGAAGGTTAAACATGAAATACAATGTCTCTACTACTAGGGATGCAATGGTGGATCTTTGACTTTGTCAACTAGAATAAGTCAAGATTCTAATTTTCAAAAACAGGTATTTAAATTTCTTACCATAACTTAGGCTTGAAAAAACCTGCATTAAGTAGCTACCAAATTATGAAGTCAAATTAATGTACATGTAAAGGATGTCGATACTTAATATGGTAAAAAGGTACCTTTTAAAATATTTGTTTCTGAAAATGGAAAATAATTTATACACGCATACATCTTTATGTTTTATGTACATTTACATATATATGTATAAATATATCATATGCATATATATTTAAAATATATGTGTAACTATCCATTTATTTGTGTGTATATATATATCAAGACTAAAAGAATATTCTACGTGTCTGTGGTTTATAAGGGATACACAACAAAATCATCTTGATATCTTTTTCAGAATATCTTGGTTGGACCCTAAACCAAACTTGAGCAGAACATCAGATGTGAAGATCTGCTTGTGTTTTGTAAAGGTTATGGTGATTCCAGAGATTTAGAGTAGGAAAAAATTTCACTGCTCTTATGGTGGTTTCTAAATCTTTTAAAACCTATGCTCCTTTTTGGTAAACATAAGCATTTCACACTATATTAAAACATTTTAAATGGATTAAATATAAATATCATGGCTAAAAAAGAAATTAAAGCAACGGTCAGTTTAGAATACACTTTTCCAAATTATGTAGGCTCCCCGACCCCAGTGGGGTCCTCTCCTATAGCTGAACCATCCTGATCCACACATGCTTGGGTGACAAGAAGTAAAAATTAGAACTGGCTGGTATTCACAAATAGTGATAAACACAAAAGTGACTGACTGTGGTATATACTACTTCCCATCTGAGATTTTGTGGTTGCCCTACTCGATGTTGTAAAAACTGTAAAAATAAAACTGTATTAATGTTTAGATTTCTTGACCAAAGCAAGGCCATTTACACAGTTCTTGTTTTTAATCAGTTACACAGCGGTATAATTTACATACAGTAAAACCTATTAATTTTAAGTGTAAATTGGATGAGTTTGGATAAGTGTTTAGAGTTGGGTAACCACCACTACAATCATGACAGAACAATTCCACAACCCCGAGTGCTCCTCATTTCCCTTTGCTGTCAGTTCCCTATTCCTATGCCAGCAAACCAGCACAGTACTCCTTGTCTGGCTTAGGGAAGGTAAACTTCAATCCATCCACCTAGTGTCTAAGAGCTTCCACGCATCCACATTCAGTAAATTTCATACCATAAAAGACTTTCTACAAATTGAAAGAAATTTATAGAATATAAAACCTTTAAACAAAACAATAGTCTCTAAAGGAAGTGATATTTCTGACTTTGCTAGGGATTGCAAAAGACTCTCACTCCCATAGATGGATATTAAAAACTTACAATGGGGAAAAACACTCCTTTAGTTCTTACTTCAGGTACAACTCAGACCAAGCAATACTGCCTTCTAAGTATAAAAATCTAATTTAAAACTGCTTTTTAAAAACTTACTTGCTCTATTCGGTGTCTTGTCTGTAGATACGGGTCGTATCTAGCACGGATAGCTCGCATGGAGGTTGGCTAAGAAAAAAAGGGGAAAAGATCCTGTTATGCCCACACTGAATTAAAAACAAAAAGTATTTTCAAAGGGTGTATTAAAAGTAAAATTCCCTTGTGCTCCTTTCTCAGTCTTCAAAATAATGTCCTGACTAGCATCTGGCTAGTCTCCACCCGCACTGTCATGAGTATGTGAACAGCAGGCAGTCTTCTTAGATCATATTTATCTTTGTATAAACACTTATGGAAACAACACAAGCTGTTGTTATAATACTCAGATGTAGATGTGCCTACATATTCAGAAAGAGTTATTTGGTAAAATAACCTTTAAACAAGGTCATTAAATACAACATAGTTTCTAATGGCTTAACAAAAAAGCCTTTATGCTTTTACACAATGGAATATTCTACAGCCACGAAACAACATAGATATATGTTCTCTAAAATACATTGTTAAATGAGAAGGGCAAGGTGCAAGGTTTTGATACAGTAGCTTATGTGTAAAAAAGTAGGGTAAAGAATAGCTATGTGCTTATATATCCATATAATATCTTTGAAGGATGTAGAGGAAAGAGAATACTAATTGTCTGTTGGGGGGAGGCTGTAGCAAAAAGTGATGGCTAAGGGACAAGAATGGCAGGAACCAATTCCTTCTGTATTTTCAAAAATCTGAACTATGAAAAACAGATAAAAAAATTTAAAAATATAGGTAAGAAAAAGTCACATAGCTGGCTGCTGACCTCTCTCAGAGGTTGACTGCTTGCTCACTGGTCTCCTGCTTTCACTCTTGCCCCCACTCTAATCCTTTCCTCTCATCAAATGATCTTTTAAAAAACTATACTGGATTATATCATTCCTTTAAATCTTCATGGCTTCTCATGATACCCGTAATAAACCGCTATGACATCTGTCTCTCCAATCGCATTCTTCCCCTTACCCTCTATGCTCCAGAGCACCTCACCATCACTCCGAACATGGCTCCTTTTTCTAGCTAGTCTCTCTGCCAGAAATGCTCTTTGCTGATATTCTTGAAAGGCTCCTTCCTGTTATTCAGGACTTGGTTAAAACATCACCTCCTCGGAGAATTCCTTCCTAACCACCATAGCTAAAGTACCCACCCAGCTACACCTTACGATTTTACTTCTCTGCTTAGAATTTACTAGTACCTGGACTTTTTTTTTCTTTTTTATTGTCTATCTCCCATTATTAGGATGTAAATTCCACAAGACAAGAGACACTGTCCATTTTTCCACTGCTGCACACACAAGCAGTACAATGTAGTGGTAAGGAGCACAGAATTCAAAAACTGGCTCTGTCACTTATTAGCAGTGAGTCTTTGAGCCAGTTGTTTTGGGCTCTAGGCCTCAGTTTCTTTATCCATAAAGCCAGGATAGTAACAGTGTCTACCTTCAAAATGCTGCCGGTAAGGTTTAAAGTTGTAAAATACTTATGTTTGACACATGTTAATAATAAATGCTTCTGTAAGTATTCCTCTGGTGACTAGAAAAATATATATAGACACTCAGCAAATATTTGGTGAATGAACAACTTTTGTAATCAGGAAAAAATAATCATTCTAAGAAAGCTAGTACTTGTAAAAGCACACTACAGGCAGAGTACAATGCAACATTTCCCAGGACAAACTCAGATTACCTCATATCCAGTATAAGACTGGGTCGAATATTCAAAGTCTGAATCAGGTCCACCAGGGCAGTATCTGCCAATACAACAGAAGAATGAAGATGTCAGATACAAAGGTAGTTCTAGCAGCAACACCCTTATTAATGGAATTAAAATACACACACACAACTTATCAAAATCATCATACTTACACACATATATTTCCTGTAAAACTGATGTGTGGACATCTGTGGGGTTTGCACATCACAGCCACAACAGCAATCTACAAAAGAAAGATCAATGAAAGAGCTATTATGAAATAACTAATAGAAAATCCTGGAGAGAGGCTATCTCTCAGGAAAAGGGAGAGAAATGCAATCAGAGTGGCACATGGGGGCTTCAAAGGTGTTGTGAATGCTGTATTCTGAAGCCGAGCAGTGGGTACAAGGGTGATCTATTTTCAATGTTATTTAAAAATAACACTCATCTCTTTAAAATGTACACATGCACTGTATATACTAGTTTGTATTATACTTTACAATAAATAAAGTAAAAAATAAGAAATAATTTTTAAAGTCACAGTGATTCTTATTCTCTGATTTGTTTTACTAAAAGAGCCTAGGAGAAAAAAAACTATGCAATTCTATACAATTATATCTAAGCCCAACCTTTGTAACTCAAACTCCTCGTGGACACACTAGATCCAAATATTTAGAGCAGAGACAACTGAACTAGGAGCTAGACTTCACAACTGTGTGCAAAATATTCTCAGAGGGGTCTTTCAGAGCCCAAGTTGGGGGAGGACAGTATCTGCTTGAGAAAGGAGGGAATGGTGGAAACAGAAGATTTACATATAGGAGTAGTTACTCAAATAAAGGCACACACTAAGGTGAATGCAAGCCAGGTTTCTTACTGTCAGAGAAGAAAGTTATAAATATGCAAAGGGAGAGAACTAGAATGAATTCTGTGGACTGGATGAAATTCAAAGTACTACTGTGAATTCATAGTTTTCAACAGATTGATATACAAATACATATAGATGCAAATGTGAATGTACATACATATGTATGTATACATAAATATTTCCTAGCTTGGTCCACTAAGAGGCCTGGAAGCAGCAACACCCTAATAGCAGTGAGCATATCTAGCACTCAGATCTTGGTCTCTAAATACCTTTCTCCACTAAAAGAAACCAGGATGCCTGAGAGAAATGGCTGATTCCAGGGCTGGGGCAAAGAAAGTACAAGATGAGCCTGGAACATTTCATTATGAATGAAAGCTAGAAACTGCTCAAAAATGATGGGGTGTTTTAAAAAAAGGCACAGAAACCAGAAAGGGCTCCCACTGGTCAAACCTGGGATACTTTGTGCATAAAAATAAATAATGATTATAACCTACCAGATAAGAAACCAAATAAATGAATAAATAAACTGGAAGTCTGATAAGGAACGGGAGGATATTTACATAATTTCAAAATACTTCACAACACAAAACTTCTCAATTACAAAGTGGAAAAGATTAACTTTACAGAGAAGGAAGCCTGGTAGACAACACCTTCATCATAATGAACAACATCAGTGACAAGACAAAATGAAATTATGCACCACCTGATGGGATACAGTAAGAATACAGAATCACTTCTGTAATGTTCCTGCCAAAGACACATGACCTGAATCTAATTATGAAGAAGCATCTGATTAAACCAAATTGAGGAACATGCTACAGAATAACTTGCCTGAAATCTTCAAGCATTAAGGTAATGAAATCAAGGTGAAACAGCAGTGTCCAGACTAAAGAGCCATGACAATTAAATGCAACATGTAATTCTGAACTGGGTCCTATAGGTCATTATTGAAATAGCTGGTGAGACTTGAATGAGATCTGAGGACTAGATATCAGTAATGTATCAGTGTCAAATTCCTGATTTTGATGGCTGTATTGTGGTGATGTAAGAAAATGTCTTTGCTTGTAGGAAATATGAACTAAAGTATTCACAACTTACTCTTCAATAGTTGAGGGAAAAATGTTCTTTGTACTGGACTTTTGACTTTTCTGTAAGTTTGTGATTATTCTGCATAATAAAAATTATTAAAATTTAACTTAAATCATTAAATAATGATCTAGAGAAATTCCAAAATACGTGAATTTTCAGATCTGAATTAAAAACTAAGTTTCAAACAATGTTTTTATTTAAAACAAGACACAATCATATATACCACTGATGAGGCCAATCTAATTTGACAATGTTTTATTGAGGGCCTACTAGACAGGCCAGGTTCTGAGCAAAACAGAGCAGGTGGGGCCCGAGACTACAAAAATATTAACATACTGCCTCTGTCCTCTAAAATCGTAGTACCTAGCAAACTGCCTCCAATCATACAGAAAGAGGCTACTTCAAAACCACATGTATGCAGAAAATACTAGGAATGCTCAAAGAAGGGGAATAACTAGCCCTGACCAGGAGAGTCAGGAAAACCTTCCTGAGGGGCTAACAACCATGCTGAGTAAGAGTCAACTGAGCTAACAAGGTAGAGGGCCAGGGAAGCAACAGGCACTAGTTTCCACACATTTAAGCAGAACAACTCTTCTTTCAAGTAACATTTTACTTAGAACCCCAACTTATAAAAGAGGTGAAAAGCAACAGCCCTGGGTGAAGTAGAGATGGGATCTGCTCCCACGGCTTCCCAATACTATTCTCCATAGTAGCTCCTAAAAAAACTTCTGAGGAACCCTGTATTTTTGTTGAATACAGTTCAAAAATTACTGATAAAGTAGAAAAAGCAGTGACTCTGGAGCCAGCCAAAGAGGTGTAGGTTTGAATCTTTCCTCTGCCCCTTACTGTGCATTTCTAGCATGGTGGCTGGTATGTAACAGGTGGGCAACATATGGTAGCTATTGTTGTAATTTATAGTGACACTACTAAGAATAACCACCACCATGGTGTCCTAAGCAAAAAACAAACAAAAAAAATCTCAAATACAAACAAAGTCAAAATGGATGACTGGCCTAAATGTAAAATGCAAAACTATAAACTTCTAGAAGATTACTAGGTGGCCTTCAGTTTTGCCATGAGTTTGTTTTTCTTTAAAAAAAAATGTCTTTATTAATTTCAGAGAGAGAGAGGAAGAGAGAGGGAGAGAGAGAAACATCAATGATGACAGTCATTGATTCGCTGCCTCCTGCATGCCCCCTACTGGGGATTAAACCCATAGCCAGGCGTGTGCCCTGACCGGGAATCGAACCAGGAATCAAACCATGACGTCCTGGTTCATAGGTGGACATTCAGCCAGTGAGCCACACTGGCTGTTCCCTTAGGAGTTCTTATTAAAAATGCACGTTCTTGGGCTCACCTCAGACCTAGAAAGCAGGACCCATGGGTAGGGCCTGGGTATATGTATTGTTGAAAACACACTAGTTCGTTCTTTTGCACACTAAAGTATGAGAACCACTTAAAGACTTCTGAAGTATTCTGGTACAGCAAGGTCTTTGATGCTTGGAACGATGTTACATCCTGCTTAACAGACACTTTTCCATTTTGTGCTTACCTTCTGTGACTAGGCAGGTGGTAGGTGGTTCAGAGGGAGTCCATTCTATCTCTGATAGTAAGGAAGATGGATCCAGAGTGCATATTGTAGTTTTTATTTGTCCAGTTCTGTTCCTTGCAGCCCTAGAGAAAAAAAGTCTGTTCTTCTTCCACATGAATTTTTCTCTAGTTAAACAACCATGTCTTCTTGTAACATTCTTTTCTTGTTAAACATCTCCCAATTTTTTTATTGGTCTTCATGTGACAAGGCTTTGANTTCTTGCATGCCCCTGACTGGGGATTGAGCCCTGACCATGTATCCAACCGCGATCCCCTGGATCCTAGGTCCATGCTCAACTTCTGAGCCACACCGGCTGGGCTGCCACGAGTTTTTACATACAACATCAAAAGCACAACCCATGAAAGAAAAACTGGTAAGATGAACTACATTAAAACTTGAAAATTCTGCTCTGAGGAAGATACTATTAAGAGAATGAAAAGTCAAGCCACAGAAGAAAACATCTGTAAAACATCTCTCTGATAAAAGACATGTATCTTATTATTATTTTTAAAAAATATATCTTTATTGATTTCAGAGAGAGGAAAGGAGAGGGAGAGAGAGATAGAAACATCAATGATGAGAGAGTCATTGATCAAGCCCGCAACTGGGCATGTGTCCTGACCAGGAATCGAACCTTGATCGCCTGGATCCTAGGTCGATGCTAAACTGCTGAGCCACGCCCGGCCAGGCTAAAAGACATGTATCTTAAATATACAAAGAACTCTTACACCTTCACAATAAAACAATCCAATTAGGAAGAGGGCCAAAGATCTGAACAGACACCCCAACAAAGACATACAGATAGCAAATAAGTATATGAAAAGATATCCAACACCATATGGCATTCAGGAATTGCAAATAGAAACAACAGTGAGGCACCACTACACACCTATTAGAATGGCCAAAATCCAGAACACTGACTGCTGGCAGGCATGTGGATCAACAGGAAGTCTCATTCACTGTTGATGCAAATGCAAATGGTGCAGCCACTTCAGAGGAAAGTTTGACAGTTTCTTACAAAGCTAAACATACTCTTACCATGTGACCCAGCAATTATGTTCCTAGGTATTTACCCAAATGAACTGAAAACTTAGGAGTACACAAAAACCTTCACACAAATGTTTAGAGTAGCTTTATTCACAATTGCCAAAATTGGAAGCAACTGAGATGCCCTTCAATAGGTGAACAGATAAACTGTTGCACATTCAGACAGTGGAATATTATTCAGCACAAAAAACAAATGAACTATCAAGCCACTAAAAAGATGTACCCTACATGCATATTGCTAAATGAAAGAAGCCAATTTGAAAAGGCTATATACTGTTTGATTCCAACTACATGACATTCTGGAGAAGGCAAAGGTATGTAGACAGTAAATAGATCGGTGGCTGCCAGAGGTCTGGAACAGAGGAAAGGAAAAATAGTGCAGTTTTAAGGCAGCAAAATTATTCTAGATGATATTGTTAATTGTGGATACATGACATTATGCATTTAGTAAAACCCATGGAATGTACAACACTATGAGTGACCCTAATGTAAAAACTATAACCCTCAGTTAATAATAATGTAGCAATACTGGTTCATTAATTATAACAAATGCATCAAACCAATTCCAGATATTAATAATAGGGCAATCTGGGGGAGAAGAGAAAGAAAGTATATGAAAACTGTGTACTTTCTGCTCAGTTTTTCTATAAACCGAAGACTGCTGTATAAAAAAAATAAAAACAAAGCACTACCAGAGTAACAACAGGAATAAAAGCATGGAGGTTAGGATGCAGAGCAGATAAAGAAGGACAATCAGCTGTGTACTTCTGATATTTTTAATAGGGCACTCTGGTGACACTGTAGAACATAGATTTGGTGCAGGCAAGACAGAGTAGATGGGTTATGAAATGACTGAAATAATCTAAACAAGAAATAATAAAGGCCCAAACATTCCTACCAGTGGTGGTAGGAATGGATGACGCATTTCACATCTTTTGGAAACTGAGTGAATGGGAGTGCTGGGAACTAAAATGGACAAGAGAGATGAATGAGCACTTCTGAGGTTAGTTTGGGTTATGTTACACTTGAGGGTCTACATGTAGTCAAAGGAGAGATGTCTAACAGGCAATTTGACATGAGCCTGAAGCTTGGAGAGAAGTCAGACCGGGAGTCAGCAAATGTCAATACTTAATGTGAATGAATGAGATCACCAAAGAAAGTACATACATTACTAAACACTACGGGCCCAGGACCACAGAAACATCAATTTTCAGAGGCAAGCAGAGTAAGAGTAGACCTCAAAGAAAGAAATGATCAGAGGCAAGGGGAGCAGAGAGAATGGTGTCATAAAGCCAAGTATATCGGGTTGAAAGGTTGCTCAATCTTTGTCTTCCATAGTGTCAAGTTCACACATAATGGCAAAAACCAAAAATTCAAGATTTATCTATAAGGCATACTGTTTAGGGATATGGAAGTAAATGCCAAGAAATCAGCTAAGAGTTCAAAGTGATTGCCCTTGGGGGAAAGAGGAGGAGGTGAAGTTTAAAAATATTGGTTTTTCTTAAAGAACCTTTACCTAGGTACCAACAAAACAAAAACACTTGAATACAAAGGAGAAGAGACCAGGATTGGTGGTACATTGTGTGTGAAAGTTCTGGGGTTTAATTAGCCACAAATGTAATATAATCCAGGAGATACAACCACCAAACAAGTCAACACAAGCTGCAATTACTAAAAATATAATATCCTCATTCAAATAACAGACTGAACTTCTGAGATCACATCAGGAACACAAAATTCAATTCTGGGTACCATATTTTAAGGGAGTTCAAATCCTATCTCTCACACCCATCCTTTTTATCCTAGAACCCCTACCCTAATTCAGGCTCTTAACACTTCACACCTAAGCCAAACCAAGAGTATCCTAACTAGTTTTTTTGTCTCCAAACTACCCTGCATCTTATATCCAAAGTAATTTTCTGAAAATCTATTTTGTTCATATCATTCCTTTTCTCAAGAATCTCTGGCAGTTTCCTACTGTACCATTTCTTTGTAGGGAATTTAAGATCTTTTACAAGCTGATCCCAAACTAATTTTTTAATCCAATGTCTTGAAGCTTTCTCAAAGGAATTATCAATTCCAGTCAGTCTGGTATATTCACTGTTGCCTGCACACACCACACTTCTATCATCTCTATCTCTGTGCCTCAGTTCCCTATGTCCTTGCTCCCATTACTGTTCAAGCCTGCTCATCTCTGCTTGTATGAGCATCATTTATGTCAAGCAAGCTCCACACTTCCTATTTCGCTTTCCTTAGTCTCTTTTACTGCAAGGATGTCTCCGTACTCTGGATTCCCATTGCACTCCCTATTGTGTCAATCATTTCACAGTGACCATATATAGAATGACTATACCATTAACTACCTTTTAAAAGTATCTTTTATAAATATCAATTATTTTGAAAGCCACCAGTATAATACGACCAAAAATATCCATCATATTGTGAAAATCACCAAGCCTCAATTTATAGTTTTTTTTTAAAAAGACATCTTTATTGATTTCAAAAAGAGGAAGGGAGAGAAACAGAAACATCAATGATGAGTCATTGATGGGCTGCCTCCTGCACGCCCCCTACTGGGGATGGAGCCCAAAGCCCAGGCATGTGCCATGAATGGGAATCGAACTGTCATCTCCTGGATGCTCAACCGCTGAGCCATGCCGGATGGGCCTCAATCTATACTTTTAAAGACACCAAAACATCATTTACTCTTTTAAGCACAATAAATTCTTTCCCTCTCTAGGCCCTCCTAGCATTCTGCACATGTCTCTACTCCAGCATGTATCACAATATACAGATTATATTAGTCTCAATTTCCCCACCTTTACCTCACTACCTGTGTGAGGCAGGGATTTCTGGCAGAACAGATACACAATCAATATTACATGAATTGAAATACTCACCCCACTGGCAGTTCTGATGGGTTTTGCCTTTAACTTGGGGACCAAGACCTTTCGATACTGAGGTGGGACTGCGGCAATGATATCCACCAAACGAGGCTGTGCTGAAAGGCCGTATTTGGCAGCAGTCTTGGTTTTCAACCTGAAAGTAAAGCATCTAGCATTTATCAAGATCACAGTATTTCAAGGATAAGCTATCAAAAGATGACCTATCAATAACATCAACTCCTGTCACTCCCCTATCCTTTCACCAGACAACAATAGTGGCTTTAACACCTGTGAATATCAGGGGTCCAGGACAGTGACACCATGTAGGTCTCATTCAAAATGGTGCTCCAGCTTCAAAGGATGCTACCCTTTTCTCAGCCTCAGCACTATAGCATTTAGAATCCGATTAATTCTGTTGTGGGGAACTGTTCAGCACACTGTGGGGTGTTTAGCAGCATCATTAGCCTCTATTCACTAGCATTCTTCTTCCTGCTATAACAACCAAAAATAATGTCTGCAGACATTGACAAATGTCCACAGAGATGGGGGGCGGGGTGGGGATCACACCTGGTCACAAACCACTGTCTTAGGACAAACAAACAAAAAACAAAAGAAAGCTACACAACAGTATTTTATAACTTTTTCTAATACAAAATATTGTATACATAAAAAGAGTACATAAAACATATAACATACTTTAACAATTATAAAGCAACCACTTATGTACCACACTCCAAGAAACAGAATATGATTAGAACTTCAGAATACTGATTATAACCCTACCCTCACCCCCGGAAGTAACTTTCTCCCAACTAATAATTCCTTATTTTTCTCTATAATTTTACCAACTTTTCTTTTCCTGGCTGTTAGTCAAACCCTAACAGCCATCTTAACTTCTTATTTTTAACCCATCTAAAAATATTGCAAGATATTTGCATCATTTTCTACATGTTATCCGAGTACGTGATGTGTACAGACTACCTAAGTACTTGGTATGTCAGGAGATATAAGGCATAGTCATTTCATGACCTATGTCTGCATGTTTGCAGATAGGCATGAACAAAAACAGGCATGATAAAATACACAACAACTGCTTCTAGCATTCAAGAGAGTAACTCAATGTGTGCTGGGGAGATACTCATGGAAAATGGGTGCAGAAAAAACAGGCTTCCAACATGCAGTGAAAACATGGAGATGACATTGAGAGCAAATAGGACGGCTTATGTAAAGATGCAAAAACCAACAAACACATATTTTAAGAAATATGGGTAGACCAACTTGACAGAAAGCAAAAAACTGTCAATGTAAAGGTGCAGAAGTTTCAAAAGCTGGAAAAGTGAATTGAAGCCAGACTGAGAGGCCTTACACAATGGGCTAAGGAATGTGCATTTAATTCCATAAGCACTGGGGACATGCCAAAGTTCCTGCACAGGGGAACGATATGATAAAAGATGAGAGTAAGTAAAACTAATCCAGCAAGAGATTAAAAGGGACGGAAAGCATACATTATTGCAGTAGTCTAGACTTAAGTTTAAAAAGACATGGAATAGGGAGTTGGAAGAAGAAATGGAAGTAAGAATCATAATGAAGACACAGTAAGCAAATTTCAGACCCTAACCCTAAGGAAAAAGAGCCAAAGATGACACTAGTTTCAAGCTTGGGGGAAGGTTAACACAACTAATCAAAGAAAACACTGAGTAGGAACTTCCATTTTAAGGAAGACGCTAGCTTTAGCTTTAGATGTCTAAATTAAAGAGAACAACAAAAATAAAAAGAAAATAGAAATGTTCACTAGAAATAAAAAGAGTTGTATAATTAGTAGTATAGCCAACAAAGACAGAATAAAAACCCTATTAAAGACATGGTAGAAGAAAAGATTAAAATATAATGTTTTGCCCTGGCCAGGTGGCTCAGTTAGTTGGAGAGTTGTCCTGTACACCAAAAGGTGGCAGGTTCGATTCCCAGTTAGGGCATATACCTACGTTACATGTTCAGTCCCCAGTTGGCAAGTGTGCAAGAGGCAACCAATCGATGTTTCTCTCTCACACTGATGTTTTTCCTCTCTCCCTCTCTCCCTCTCTCTCTCCCCCCTCTCCTTCCTCTAAAATCAACAAACATATCCTCAGGTGAGGATCATAAAAAATCAATCAATATAATATAATATGATATAATATACTGTCTTCATAGTAAACAAAGGATAGTTACTTATTTATTCCTTTAGCAAATGTTTATTAAATAAGCACAATGTTCCAAGGAAGAGGTAAGACATTACAGTATCTCAAATAACAGAGAACAGGGTCTTACAAAAGGTCATGCGCATGGTGATTAGATCATTGCCAACCTGGAGGTGGAGAGACAACTAACTCTTTTATTAGAGCAGATCTACATAGTGAATATACAGTGAAAATACAGATGCAGAGATGAAAAACCACTCTTATTTGAGGTTGCAGCAAAGTTGAAGCTGAACATAGCTGTGGGGAGGAAGTGAATGAACATGTCAAGGGGGTTCTAAAGTAGGGAAGTGTTGGATTAGGTCAAGGGTTCCAAGGGGAGGTTTTCCTGGGAGAGAGCTACTGCTCCTCTGAGATAGCAGGGAAGAGGAGGATGTGAAGTGATGTAGTGGGAAAGGCAAGAACAGGAGCTCTGGAGACAGAAGACGTGATTCCACATCCCAGCTCTGCCAATCACAGCTATTTACTCTTGGACAAATTATTTAACCTTTCTGTCTCAGATCACCCATCTGTTAAATGACAATAATATGAGTACCTAACTCATACAGTTTTTGAAAGGATCAACTGAGCTAGTATATACACTGCACTACCAACACTGACTGGGATATATATAGTAAGCGTTCATTACATGTTAGAAGATATAGTATTACTAGGCTATGGGACAATTTTGCCATAAATGAGTGGCAGGGGAGAAAGCTAAACTCTCAAGTAAAAAATAAAACATGATAGGAAACAAGTAGAATTTGGTAATTTCATAAGAGATCTACTGCATAAGAATTAGACTGCCTTCTTTTTTATAGATCCACTTACTTATTTAGATCGATGTCTTTCCCCTGTTCATGGGCTTCAATTAGTTGTTTAATAACATCTCCTATGGTCAGCATCATTAGCTCAGCAGGGCTGAGATCTCCTGGAACGATAATATTTAAATATGTAAAAAATCATATTATTCAGTAAAGATGTTTTTATTTATTAGCAGTTTTCCTTCCAAAATCATTCCAACCATACCATATAAATAGCTCAAGTTCACAAGACACTAAACCTCTACTATTTACAGTATGATCATATCTTTTGTATCTTTAATTTAAAACAAACCTGGTTTCACCTCTATATGGGAAGAGCTTACTTTAGAAGCACATACACCATGAGAGTGATAGAGACAAACAGGAGGAGAAAGAACCTAATTGCACAGGAAAGGACTAAAATAATTAAAACAGCTTCCCTTTATCTTCAGATTTGTAATTACATTGATATGCCTTATTTCATCTGATTCTCAGCACAGAGTGAGAGAGATAGAACAGGAATATTTGCCTGTCCCATGAAAATGCTATCAAGGGGTAAAGCTGAAACTCAAACCTAGGTATCTGCAGAAGTAGTATTTACTTTGTAATAGAAAAGATGTGGATTTACACCTAAGGATCTTAACGCACCATCACCATCCTCTCATGGCACCCGAGGCTCCTCTTCTCATCTAAAAGGCAGTAGCAGAAGGTGACATGCTCTTACAGGATCCCACCCCTGCAATTATAGTTTAAGGACCAGCACCTATCCAAGTCAGGCCAATGTAAGCTCTTCTCCTCCTCAAGGCAGAAAGCACCAGTCTCTCTTTAGTGATAAAAAGCTGTGAGATTTCAGCTTGGGAGCCGTTAGCAAGCAAGCTTCCTGTCTGTAGAGAAAGCTGGTGTTTGATGCTAATAAAATCACCAGGAAAAAGCGTAAGTGAGAAAACCTGGCAGTTATGGAACCCTTTCATTTACTTTATCTCATTTGAAACCTCACAGCACTGCAATGAAAGTATCGTTATCCCACTTTACAGATGTGAAAAATTAAGGCAAGTTAAGATGCCATTGCAAATGGCAAGTTCAATCTCAAATCCAGGTCTTTTCTCCACAACTTCCATGGTTTTTCACTGTACTAAGCTGCAGATAAATTTAATGAGGCAAGGCTAACACAAACAAAACAATCTGAGAGGGAAAAAGTCCATCTGTAATCAAAGGATAAATGCTTTCCAAACCATGTAACTCAGCACTTCAGAGTTCTACAAAGGCACATCTCAGGTCACGTAACAGAGGCAGGGCTATGGTGGAGGCAGGGGAAGAGGGAGAGGATGGAAAAGGAGGGTCTCCTTCTCCATTTCAACCAAAGAAGCCCAGCTTTCACCTGTTTAATACTGAGTGTATGCATAACAATTTGGAGGGGGAAGGGGGATGCTGGTGATAAAAATAGATCAAGATTTGAAAGCCACTTGTATAGGCACTGAGTGTATCAAGAATTAGCTGGAGAAGTTAATTAGTAAGAAAAGGCTTAATGGAGGAAAAGGCACAGGGGGCTTTAATGAAAGGGCAGGATTTGGACACATAAAACAGTTGGCAATCCAGAAGGAACAATGTTAGGTAGAGGAATTACCTATCTTTGTATGAAGGAGGACTGTCTAACCAGAATACAGGCTTTCTGACAGAGTTCGGTAAAGAAGAGGTTACAGGGTACATTGGCTACTAGGCAAAGGCATTTAAATGGAGTTCACTAGACAGTAGAGAATTAAATATTCTCAAGTTTGGGAGTAAAACAAGTTTGGGAGTAAAAATATGAAAGTGGTGTTTAAAGAAAATAAGCATACAAAAGAATATGAGGATAGAAAAAAATTATTCAAAAGGTGAAAATACAGAAAATCTGTATTTTCTGTACTAAGTAAAAGGCTCTTATAAGACTACATTGTAAAAAAACACACACACACACACAAAATCCCACAAGACTTATAATAAAAAGCTTGGATGACAGGCTCCTTCTGTAGTTCTCCACCCCTACTGGCTCAACGACTTCTAAGCTCCATTTCCTTACCTGCAAAATTGGGATAATACATACACACCTCACAAGACCACTGTAATGATTAACTGGAATGTCTACAAAAGCCAAAGTACCATTCAAATATTAGTTATTAAGGTGGGTTAGGAGGATGGTGGCCAGAATGATAAGGAAGAAACTATTTCAAGAGGCAATTTCTAAGAGCTAATAGGGCTTGGTGATAGATGAAATTAAAAGTGTAAAGCTGTCTGGTCTGACAGATTGAGGAGGAGCAAGTTAGAGGAAGATGATAGATTAATTTGGGGCAGGTAGAATTGGATGCCACAGACAACTGAAGGTAACTTGGACACTTGTTGCTTCAAAAAACTGCAGTTGATGTAAAGAGGCATAGTAATTAAAAACAGACCGTTAAATTTGGGGGG